GCGTCTACTCTAACTAATATTACAAGTTATTTTTCATAAACTTTTGTTCGGAATAGCATAACTATACACCACTAATTATGGGGGGGGGGGGGTAGAACAGCTAACTGAACCTTTTTCGTCCGCTCTGGGTAAAATTAGATCTTGGTACAAGACAGTTTCATTGTAAATGTTCCACTTTTTCAGAAAGCCCCCCCTCTTGAATTTACAGGTTACGGATTATAAATAAAGGAAATAAATATAAAGATAGAAAAAGATGACTTTGCATATGTATGATTAAGCTCTCTGGCACAAATCAAACTTATGGAAGTATAAACAGCACTATAAAATATCCTTGAAACTCCGGATCCGTAGGAAAACGACCACACCTTGATCATTTTAATCGTTTGCACTTTTGACAAGTAATCCATATGTATTGTGGCTGATTTCAATCGATATCAAGGCACTCTTTGTGCAATCTAAACCTTGCGTGACTTACTTTAAATATTAAGAAAGAACTATAACCAAATATTTCCAGGCATGCATTTTGCCTTTTTTTGAGATTGTAATTTCCTATGGAACGTTCTGACTCTACACCTTTTAAAGAAGTGTCCTTTGCAGCCGCACACGTAACGACTGATTAAACTGCTGCTTCCCACGTTTATTCTTGGAAAAATACACAGATATCCTTCCGCTTTCGTGCAAAAACAGTCGATTTCAATATCAGCTTCTCGCATTGTGTAATCCACTTTGATAAATTAGTCAAACATTTTCAAAAGGAACATTTTACGCAATAATTTCCTGTGTGCACTGCATCGTACAATGTTGACAACAAAGACGATTTATTCCGCGTGAAAGTACGTTTATGTAAGATAATAAGAACTACAAACGGTCATGTGTGTTATGTCTGCGTGTGGGTTGTTCTTTATGACAGGAAATATCAGACAACTAATGAACAGATAATGTTTTACCATACAATAAATACCTGGTTGCACCAATTTGACACCTGATATATCGTTTTTGACTGAATGATAAATATCTTTCTATAAATAAATACTTCTTGAATATTTTAAAGTAAATATGACGCCAGTCAGTACCCACCTACTTTTAAAAATTTTATTGCAGAAATGTAATATTTATTTACAGTTGAAAATATGTAATATATATTAACCCTCTCTCACTCACACACACAGACACCAATACCTTAACAGTATACAATAAACAAAATAGAGAAACAATACTACAAAGTACATCAATACTAACAAAAAACACAAACACTTTACAGACATGGACAATGAAAAAAATACAGGGTATAGTCAGGTTAAAAAACTACCCCACCTACTTGGCGTGGACGCTGTCTGGGAAGGGAAAAGTGATATCCGTCGACATATGCAAATAACTATACAGAACAGCAGATGTAAAACAACATGATAACCGCAAATAATTCACTTCGACTTAAAATGAATCTTGCAATTGTTAATTAATAATACTGTAACATTTGGACGATTGGAATGAGAACAAAATACTTAATATTCAATATTCTATTTCATAAGCAACGTTGCACTCCAAACTCTACTGAGCTTTAATCATTCTTTAAACCCAGTGTGTTTTTTTTTTCTTTTTTTTTTTTTTTTTGGTGCCAAAGGCTTCATTGTGCTTCTTTGCCTGCAGTCTTCATAATCAATAATGTACTGGAGACAGACAGCCTTAACCCATTCCCACCAACCAAGTAAAATATACTTGCATAATCTTTCAAAACTATAGCTTATTAAAAGACAAATTAAGAGTTGCTTCCTAACTCCGTTGTAAACATGAGAGTAAATACATCATGTACTGTATGTTGCAGAAGCGTTCACTTAGAATATGCACACTATGACTGCGCCTGGTTCTGTCATTTCAAACAGTCCCGGATGCTCTCCGGTGCCACGAATGGATTTTTCTCTGAAAATGCTCTACGCCGCACACGAAAAAAACAAAACAACAAAAAACCCTGAGATATTACATAACGGAAAGCGGAGGAAGAATCACGGAGGGACTATTTCAAAGATCAAAGGCAGTATTCTGATACTTAAGTCAAAATGTGTCATGCGTTCCTATGTTTTAAAGGTTGAATGGCGTTCAACATTAACAGAGGAAGCTGCGGTGGAGGATTAATATCCGCTGGGCGTCTTTGTAATGACCAGTATTCCAGGTTCTTCCTTCCTGACCTCCCTGTGTACTGTGTAATGTAGCTACTTCACATAAACAGTATCCCGCCCACACCACCGCTGTGCTGGAGTAGACACATCCGAACCTATACAATGCATCGTGACATGAATCCGTCAAGGCTATCTTGGTATTTTTTTCTTCCACTTAAACTCTTTGCGGCTATATATTTAGTTCCGATATTTGATATGAGAAGTCAATAAATGGTTAGATGACAGAGAACCTTCTGTGTGTTTGTGTTTTATTATACTCAGCTATGACTCTGATACGAATGCGTAGGAGATGAGTGGTCTAAAATAAAGCATTGTTATGCCGACAATGAAACGTATGTCATCTCAACATCGTGTGGAATCAGCTACCATCGCAGTAAGCTAAGTTTAAAAATAGTTCTTTTCTTCCATTTAGAATAAAAATTTACTACAAATCAAAATGCATCATGAAAGATTATTACTTTAATAGTTAGTAAACAAGATCGAAGGAAATACATATACCAACACTGAAACTGGCAACCTCACATAGATGATCATTAGAATCTAAATGACTAAAATGAAATCTAGCCAGGAAGAAAAAATCCCAGCACACAAACATAAACTATTTACACAAGTGAAGTTGGTGCTGTGAGCCAGGGAAAGTATATCACAAATGTCTCCAATCCCCTCCTCTAGGAACTTTGCGTGTTTACCCCCTTCACCGCCCCCCCCCCCTTTCCCTTCCCCCTTCCTGGCTCTAACTGTCACTGCCGTGTGTGTGGGTGTCTTAATGAACATGTTTTTCATTAACAATATTGAATGCCTAACGAGTGAATCGTTGCTGTCTAATTCGTGGTCCAATAGCATGATTTCATGAGTTCAAACTATAACAATCACGGTTGCGTAAAAGTGCCGTTGTGGCAGGCAGTTTTTGGTAGGGGTACACGTCTAGCAATGTCGGCGTGCATGCACTTACATATCAAACCAAACCACTGTAAACGTAAGTGATTCTCGGCACAATACGCCATAAGAAAGAGTGAAGGCAAACACTCATTGACAGAATACCTTCTGGAACGTCAAATATAACTATGAGCACTTAGAACTGAATGGAAGGTGATTAATATATGACTTAAGACTAAAACAATTATATACATTAAAGGGATAACAACTGATCGTAGGAGATCCATATTTCACATTAAAAACAATGTAAACTACAAATAGAAATATAATTAATTTTATTTACACATGGCTACCCTCTGAAAAAAAAACTATTAGGATATGATTACAAAAAAAAAAAAAAAAAAAAAAAAAAAATAGAAAAAAAAACTGGGACTAACTATGAATGTCCGAACGCATTAACTATTGGTAAGTGTAGGAGATCATTGTCGTTTACTCCAGGTGAATCCATATTTTTGGCTAACATGAACAATGGGTATCTCTTGAAGTTATTATAAGCCCGAACTGCTGTTTTTTTCCTTATGCATGTAACACAAGATACCATAATAAAATTAATAAACAAATGAATGAATGTATGAGTGATAAAATAGCATGAACTGAGATAGGTACTCGTCAACTCTAGGCAGGGAAGCTACCTCAATGAGGTCAAATACGTAGCTCCTATCTTTATTCAAAATACCAAAGAAACAGACAGGAGGTAACGCTACCAAAATACAAACGCACAAAATGCAAAATGCAAAGGCACAAGAATACATGTACCTAGATACCAGGCGTTGTTGAGTTATTTGTGTAAAGAGATTTGTTTACCATGTGAAACATGAGCCTCCACACACTACCAGTATACGTCAATCAATAGCCGCTTTTACTGGACACTGTGGGCATGTTTTGATATGGTGGAAACTATATTCTGGCCGGGGTGAAGACATATAGGCTTTCATGTATTTCAGTGCCCTTGGAAAGTTATTGCCTCTGCAAATACCTTGTAAGTTTACAGAATATTGTGCATGCAGCATTTTGGGTCTATACATAAACACAATACATGCAATGAAACATACTCATTGGAATATACGTTATTGTATTAGCCCTAATGAATATGAGCATTGCTTTTTTCAGAGTTTCATGTAACTGTCATTGGAACAGTTCTGGATCCCAAAGAGCTCTGATCCTTTCCTCAGCTATGCCGTGCTCGGGGTGTCTTAAACAAAAAAAAACCTTAAAGATAATTACTGCAGAATATCAGCCATATCATAGCAAATAAATCCCTCTCTGATGGCAAACTACTGCCTTCCATCTTCATTCTGCTAAAATGGTCGATGCAATGAAATTATTCTAAGTCTTATATTATAGCATAAATGGATATCCCATTGAACGACCTTCGCGTTTTCTCCTATATTACAACGAGTTCATCAAACCTAATATCCCAGTCCAATTAAGTGTGCTCACGCAATAGCTCTTTCAATTAGTGACCAACCATAGAAAGAAAGATTAATCTCTGCAGTATTCATAACGCTACGTGGACTAAAATGCCAGCCCCTGCGTTCACAAGCGTGCCGCGCCAGTACTTGGTAAACCTACTCAAGACAAACCCCTGACAAGTTTTTCTGTGAAGGAGCTTTAGTACTAATAATATAAAAAAGGCAAAAATTAACTATATTCGTAATATTGCAAGTGAAAATTGAACGGCAAAATCAATGACTGTTGTACAGCATCCAAAACGGCGGTAATCACCTCAATACTTCCTTCAGTCGAAGACGTGAACCTGTATTTTAACACTGCGTTATTGCTAGATTTTTGCCATTCCGCGAATCTTTCAAATGAGAAAGGTAAATGTTGCTTACTACATTTATCTACATCCAAGCATCGAAAGGCATATGTTCACCAAAAGTAACTTACCAGACAGTGAAGACTCCACCTTCTTCTTCACTGCGTAATAGTCAATTACTCGGCATGATTCTTTGTGCGCTTCTCCATTGCCATCAAGGCACTATTGTCAAGTGATTCAGCCAGGATAGCACACTGAACTTGACCTTGACTCGGGTTCACATGACCTCTGACCTCTGACCCTGTCTCTCTCACCTTGCACTAAGTTCTAAAAACATGATGTAATGAAGCCCGCTTGTAACACAGAAATCAGTAATGTCACTTTAGAGTACAGCTGCGCAGACAACAAACTGAATGCAAACAGTACCGCCGATATGAGATATTTTACCTGGACCACGTTGGATCACCCTGTTGACCTTGCATGACTTGCTGCTGCAATCAGATGACGTGTTCTGACGCAATACTCCCCATTGGCTCGCTGGCGTTAATGTAATAATAAAACCAGGGAGGATTGGATTAAGGGAAGACTCACGCTGGCACGCGCGATTGTGAAGTGATTATTCCGTAGGTTCCATCAAGCCTGGTTAACTTCATTGTGTCCGAAATAAAATAAAGATTGATTATACCAATGTTTTGATCACAAATGTGTTGAACAGGATTTGGGGGGGGGGATGCCGCTGTCAATTTTCCACCCATGTGTGTCAGAGTAAGGAATTGGAATCGTTGAAAGCTGAGGTAACAATTAACAGCTAGAAAACCAGCGCAAACAGACAGATATCCAGAAACACAGACACTCATACAGGGAAAGCTTAAAGACTCTTTCACTGCTTGCCTTTTAAGTTAAAAGGATATTTGAATGGACTCTGTTATTATATCAAGATGTCTTACTGGCGCTTAAAGTACATGAACTGCCATCATAACCTTGTGAGAAACACGTGAAAACATCATGTACAGCCATACATACTGAAGGCAAAACATTGTTTTGGGGGTTACTGCCCGGAAACAAATTTCAATTTTTTTTGTTGATCCTTGAGGTAAAAATGCTCATGTTTACTTCAGCGATTGGCCGGGAACTCAAGGTTAAGGTGTTAATTACGGCGAGCTGACAGCCCAGCCTGGAGCAGCTTTGAACTTAAGATCACAGTTGTTAAACCGTAGTCGTTTGACAGATAGTTTGGCCCGAGGGTTTTGCCATTTGTCTGTCCAAGTTCCTGTAAGCTACCTGCTCTCCAAATACACAGTCCCATTACATGTAACCAGATGCGCCTTCAAACGACTCTCAGATTTCTTAATAGACGGAACGACATTATAAAATCTATTTTGGTTTCGCCAGTTAAATGTCACTTCCAGTGGTCAGGTAGTAACCCGACCTCGACTTGAACAGGAGATGAACGATCATTACCAGATTCTGTTACAGATGCATTTGGCTGACGAAGGCAGACCAAGGGAATTGCCCTGAAAACCCCTAATTAAGAATGCGGTCGTTGTTTTTGTCATTGCTATGTATTTGATTCAGTCTAATAATTTGTATGTTGGAGCACTGCTAACTTCTGGAAGCACTTCAAGAGGCAATTTGCCTGACATATGCATAAATAATAGCAAACCTGATTTTCCATTTGCATTTTGATGTCACATTTGATTTCCGTCCAAATTGATAAACGACCAACAAAAAACAACAATCAGTAGACGAGGAACAACAAGGGGAGCATCCTTAGTATTCCAGACGGGGTTGGCCATTTCTTGGGGTGAACCTGAACAAAAACGCAACAGAATTTATTTGTTCACCATATATTTCTTTGAGGTCCCCAAAGCACCATACTAAAAGTCCCATATCATCCGTGCATGGGGAACGTGAAATATTCAAAATGGCCGCCAATCACCATAGAAATATACGCTCTAGCGAACATGATCCTACATCATACCATTATTTCAGCCATATTATGTACGCGCACTACACATTTGTCTATGAGGTCAACTTTATATAATGAATTACAAACTTGCGCCGTTAATTTGGTACAAATAGCCAGCAGCATATGACCTTAAAATCGCTTGGGATATCATTTAATCACGGTGATTTTTAGGTAAGAGATTGAATCATGTGGAGAGAAAGTTTACAGAGAAAATTACGCTTAGGTATATCACAAGCATTTGCTCATCTAAAGCGAGGTCATGTTAGACAGCAGCGCTTTATTGATTCCAATAGAAATATCTTAATGGAAAATGCTTTACAAAATTGATATGAATAGAAACTGATCAAAAACACTATCATTAGTGCACCTTGCCCAACTTTGCGCTGACTCAAGCAGTTAATTAAGGCAGAAAGAGATAATATGAAGCTGGTAAGTCGAATTTTCAGCCTCACCGCTATCGTTCTGTTCACACGATGTGGCGCCTACTACTAAAATATCTTCAAATCGTCTGTACTTTTCACAGCTGTTGTCCCATAAATCAAAATAATTACATAACGATTATGCTGTCCTTGAGCGGAATGTCAAAACAATTTGAAAACACCAAACTATTAAGATAGAATCTCTCTTTAATAGACGTTTATGTACTCCACAAAGCTGACATCCGATGACATTTCACAATTCAAAGCTATTACTTTTTATGCGATACAACGGGCCATTAGCTAATCTGATTCTCGTCATAGTCGCCTCGTTTCAATGACCAAGTGAGGCATATCGGCTGACAAATTGCATCTAGACTTGTTGCCTCCAAAACACCTTTTCACCTAAAATGGCGCCTGCTCCACTCGGAGGCGCCAGCTTATAGCGTGCTTTACGGTCAATGACACTGTGGGGAATGCAGGAACCAAGAGAACATTAAAACTATATCCAGTTTGAATATTGAGTAACGGCTCTTTTAGCAACAGTTTTCAAAGGCAACATTCCTGTTTCTTGTCTAGCTTTCTAATGGTACTTCGAACAAGTTATTTCAAGATGATGGGGATTTTTAAAATAATAAATGATCGCATACCGGGTGTAGTCTGACAACACGCTGTGAAGAGTTGCGTTGGTAATTGTTCATCAATAGTTAACCCTATTGTTGAACAGATAGTCGATAGTTTAACAGTGTGTGGTTAATGATTTCCTTGTTCTCCAGCTCCGGGAAGACGCAAAAACATGGACGTACGTCTCTTGTGATTTTCACATTTGCAGTTTTTTTACGAAGATAGAAGGATTTTGTCAGACCCTAAGTGTAAACATACAGACTTGACATTTAATATGGAATATTTTTTTCCAAGTAATTTTTTCATCAGTTTTTTCCTATTTTGCTGACTGATAAATGAAAATAAGGATTAAAACCGTGTTTTAATAACTTTAAATTATCTCTTTGATGTCATGGTGACATCAGTTTATTGATTGGAAGCGACAGTGAAGCAAACAGAAATACATTGCCTATTCTATGTCATACGACATCCATTAAATGAGATATTTTGGATCTCCATATTTTCCTAATTATCCTCTGTAAAAGAGTTATACGCTCCACAAAAGACCCTCATGTAAGAATCTAGTCACAGTGATGGTCGTTTTTACGCCTGGCCTCTTCTGGCTGTTACCAGCGCTCTCAAGCGGCAAGGCATTCCTTGGGGTAGGTTTTTAAAGTTCAGTCTGGAATAACATTCCAGGCATCGGTCAAAAATTGTCCAATTTGGTCCAGTTTTGTTGTAGGGCATGTAGGCAGTTGATTTGGCGAGTAATGGCCTACCCAAATATCGTCTATGTGGTTCAAATGTGGCGATTTTGATGACCAGGGTAACTGCTCATTTCCTTGGTTCCGTGAGTTATCTGCTATTAAAAGTGCTCTGTGTGAACCGACAACCTCACCGTGCAGCCTAAAATTGTTCCTAAGGTGCCCTTTATCAAATGATAGTCAAGTGGTTCCGAGAATATTCCTTTATTTGATCTGGTTCAGGTTTTCGTCGATGACTACCATGGCTGTTTTGGCACCTATGTGGTATCCACTCCAAATACTGAAGCTGTCAATGACCCTTGTCACTTTAGACCCGGCGCATGCTTCGTCGTTGGCCTCTTCTGGATATCTGTAAACTCTGTTTTGACTAATTGGGCGGTACAGGTGAAATCTGACCTCAATAAAGAAAGACGCGGTTTCAGTGTTCTACCCAGAAACGGTCATGGCCCCCAATTCATTAGAGAAACAGACGACGATGTTTTGCTGTTTACAGTGGGTGCCTCGGAGGTCGTTTGGTATTCTTACCTGCTAAAACCAGTTTGGTGTTCGCTAAGGGCTTTGAAAAACGTATTTTGGTGGCAATTTACCCCTCGTTCTGAAAGGACTAGGTGTTATTTGTTTAGTTGCAGCAGCGTATCCCGAAGGACAGTGGGTCTTGTACCCTGTAGGTAAGATTTTGATACACTGGGGGAGACCTCTGTGTGGGTACATCAGTCTGGGCATTACTCTATAAAACTGTGGGGACCGTTCCGTTTGGCGCTATAATCTGTCTGGTAATGTCTGTGTTTTTCTCTACATTCTGCCACAGATTAACAAATTTGTAATGCACTACTTAGCTCTTTTTACGCACTGTAAGACTGACCGCTTGCATGCAAAATTTCAAATTCTTCTATGCAGTAGTTGCCGACATATGGATACTTTTTTGACAGAACTAAGCTTTGCCCAAGCTAAGCTTTGACCAGCCCAAAGGAACACGACCCAATTAAATCACTGCATATTACATAATGTAGCAGCGCAACAGACATGAAAGTCAGTTAATTGGTAGCGACACACCTGACTACACACTTCTCCATTCACAAATCTTATATGAGATCGGAGTTTTTTTTTAAAAAAGAACGCATTTTTACCTAGGCATACCTTCGAAACTGAAATATTCCATATTAAATGTCAAGTCTGTATTTTCGAATTTTAGACCAGACTTCAGTGCTAAGCTTTCTCCTGTGATATCGACATCCTTGTTGGTCAAAGTGCGACAATCATTGATCACTGTCAAAATATGTCATTGTCAAAATGGATAAAATTAATAATTGCGTTTAATGAGAGTTTTATATTTTATAATTGTTTAAGAAGACCATCGACCTGTGTAACAAGACTGGAAGTCCGCTAGGAACCATATGTAGTCCGTTCCCCATAAGTTTGTACAGGTGACATTCGTCCCATACACTAACCCCTATACTCCGACTAACCCTAACCTGTACTAATCATACGGGAGCTGGGATTCAA